AATAATATTAATAAAATCTTAACACTAGAATATGATATATATGATGGATGCCCACATACCTGAGCATCTTTAGCAGGCATTCACTAACAAACACCTCACAAAATTAATAGAGTACGTTATTCAATCATACTAAACTTAAAACATATGAAACTAAATTAACCTAATCAAACATAAACTGCCCACAAATTTGGATTTGTTAGGAAATACAAAGAAAATGTTCAAATATTACAATAAATGTTTTTGTTGGTACTGCTACAAGTATATGATTGGAAGAAGTGCAACTACTTCAAAACATTTCACATCTATGAAACCAGCAACCAAAGATGGTGAAAAAGCCTCCAAGTTTGGAAGAAGAAGAAGAAGGGAAAAAAAACACACACATTTGAACAACAGCTCTATTTAAGGACTTCAGACTTATGATTTTGAGTTACAGATGTTCACTTCTGAGGTGCAAAATTAAGAACACTGTAACAGTGACCTTCAATTAGTCACTCCCATTAGAATAGCTTTTGATAGCCTTGTAAATGTCTTACATTCAAGACAATGTATTTATATATTCCAGAAAAGTTTCAAAGTTAAATTTACATGCATTAAGAAAAAAATGCAATGAGATGAGCAACAGTGAACACAGTAATGAACTTTATGGTTCCATAAAAGGTAGGGATTTCTTGACCAGCTGGGTGACTATAAGCTTCTTAGGAACCTTGTTCTATCACATTAGATTACAGTGTCTAAAGCTTCTAAATATAGCACTCTTCTGTTGAACACACGAGCTCGGAAGGAAACAGCTGTGGGTCTATTTTGAAGTTATTCCACCATAGCATTTGAACGGAAGCAGGAAAGTTATATATGAAGATTCAAAACACCCACCTCCCACACATAAAGCAGTTCTTATTTATTACCACACAACATGCACTGATAACTCCTTCACTTTTAAACTTTCAGGTTCATGCAAATCTTATACACACATCCCCATAAATATTTATTCCTGTATATTTGAATTTCAGATACCTTCAGACTTCACATCAATTCGCTGAACGTCAATGTTAAACACTGGATACGGTTTATTGTTCACATCCTGGCGAGTATCGACACATGGAATTGATACTCTCCAAGCACTCAGGTCTCTGTAAGATTCTGATGAGTCAGACAAGTGAAGATCCTCAGCCTGGAACATACAAATGCAAAAATATGTCTTCACACAACTCCATATTTCCAAAGAAGAAAGATCAAGTTTTCAATCTGCATTTTGGAATGTGAAAACCAAAGTTTATAACTGCACTTACAACATACATGATAAAACAATTGCTTGTAGATAATATTTAGATACTAATATTTTACAAATGTAACCAAATGTTCAGACTGTAGGATTTGAGGTTCTCATGGCAGACAGTATGAAAATGGCTGTGTTCTGGGTTCTAGAACTGTACAGAATTGTAGAAGTTTATCAACATCAACATCAGCCTCTGAAATGTTGGTAAACTTCTACAGAATACATAGCACTATAACAGAGAAGAAGACAACTTCAAATGTTCAGATTTATTACATTATCTATTCTTCTTTTAAATAATCTTTTATGTTGTGATTTTTGGCAATGCATGCTTTGGTCATACATTTCAGTCTTCAATGATAAATGGTTCGAGCATTATTATAATAAGGTTACTTCAGATTTGAAACAGAGATTTTCTGAACATGAAGTAGAATTTCTAACCACTAAAACATGACATTTAAGTTTTCAACAGCTGTCAGGAACATACTGCTGACAGTGCAATGACAAGTTTCCCAACTGCTTTTCTCAAAATCTTCTGTTACATAACATACCAGATGCAACTATAATGTTGCCACAATACTGAGTATACTGAAAGATGAAATAACATTATACATATGTTTGTATGTAATGCAGATTTCCACTAATGAACAAGAGTGGAAAAGTGTACTCCAATGGCATTCACATATTTTCCAAATGCATTCTTTCCTGTTTAGCATATTTCAATGGCATAAATGTTCATTTATTGCAAATACAAATATATTGTTGCATAGATAATCATACTACAGTTATCACACTGTACAAAGTCTGAAAAAATGTTATTTTTTCGTCATTAAATACTCATTACACTGGCAAGTTGAAAGTTATAAATCTTTATTAGATGTACAAATTTTTATGTTGTGTACTAATCAGTTTGATTTCAGCTTCATTTAAATCAGTGTAAATTACTGTTAAATTCAATGACCAATTTTAGTACAGAAAACCCATTAACAATATTTAATCAAATCCTAATCATCAGTCTGAACACCAATTTATGTGCTTTGTGCAAACAATCCATAGTAACCAGTCTGCTGTAATGGTAAAGCTACATATGCACAATGAGACATAAATTATGTAAAGACATTTACTCACGTATTCCGTCTCGCCCAAATCTAATGCTGAATCAGTGTCATATACATGTCCCTCCACAGGCTGTGTTCGCAGTGCTCCCTTGATCTTGTGCAGTCGACTGCTGAGGCGAGCCACTGCCCCTCCGTCACTCCATTTCTTCATTGACCTAAAAGCAAATGACATAGCATGTAGACACAACTATTATATATTTCAATTATAATAGCAGACTGGTCTAAGAGATAAGGAAGAAGATAAAATCTTTAACTGAAAAATATCTAATGAGGAAAAATTAAACACCTGAGAAATTAAAATATATACATGCATTATAGGAAAAAACACATTATGTGAGTAGTAATTAATGGTTTTTATAACAACAGATTACTTGCTTCATTAGCCATTATTTAAAGAGCTTTCATTTATGCAAACTAATTAAAATCAGTGTAAGATTTAAGGTTCTCACAACAGTAAAGATGTTGTTCTTTTGGGCTGTGACATCATAATGGCAGATACCAACATTTCAGACAAATATAGTTGTCAGATAAGTCCATGCAGTGTCACAACCCTGAAGAACAATATTGACATAACTAAAGTTAAAATGATTTCAATTTCCAGTGATACAGAAATAAAATTAATTCAGAATTGCTTATAGTTGTCTAAATATAGAAAAATATAGTTTTGGAGGTATTAAATGCATTAGTTACATCTTACTATTACCTTCCTTTAGCAGGAGATCCTTGCAGCATAGGAGAACTAACAGACATGTATATTAGAATATAATTAAACATGATTATAAGAAAGGACACCAAATACCAATTTTAATGCTTAAAGTAGACTATATTATTGTGATAATGGGAGGAGAAACAACATATGACTGTTTTACAGCAAAGAATACTGGGACAGTACACACAATGGAAGTCTACTTGTAAAGTAAATTTAAACTCCTTAAATTCAAGTCCAGAACATGCCACACAGCATCAATATTACAGGTCTGAGGCTCACACAACAAAGTGGAACAATAGACAGGTTTTCTGTCCTTTTGACCTGATGATAAAAGCAGAATCAAGTTTTTAGAACATTGTGATATTATAATTCAGATAATGAACAAAGTCCAAAAGAATAGTTTTACACATAATTCTACTGCCACTTATTTGTCAATGCAATCTTATGGCACAGAGTTTAGTGCCTTTACAGTTCTGTAAATAAATTCCTGAAACATACTGCATGAAAGTTACTGAAGCTATAAAGTAAAGACATAATATGTATGTATTTAACATACAGAGATATTAGGTGGTCCATATGCATGACAAGACAACAGAAAAATCTCAAAATAACTGAAACACTGGTTTTGAAATTCTTTTTTTAATAGCTGAATGTGGGTGTGAATCTGGAAAGGTACTTGCATGTAAAAACTGTATTGGACTGAACAAGTCAACAGCGCAGTGCACAGCACATTGTGCATAATAAACAGCAGTTTCGGAGGGATACAGCATGCTGTAATATCGATCAATCTTAGCTGTTAGTCAATATACTGTGGCAGGTAGCCTGATTACAACTGAGTGCAGTCACAGACTTGTAAATTTTTGTTTTAAATGTAAGAATGTTGTAATAAAATCTATGAGGGTGAAATATAACATGACATCTAAACACTCACAATAGGTCTACAGTGATTACTGGATAAAAAAGGCTACTAACCAAAATATTTTCACAAGCAGTAAAGGGCTCAATTATGAATGATTTTAAAGAACCACGAGGAACAATACACTACCACTGGACACCAAGTATTTTCTCTGATATTTATGGAGACTTTGTATATTCTCACTGTGAAAATGCTGAGATAGTGCATTTACATAATCCACAGCTGTGCTGCAATCTGATATTCTATAATGTATGTAGTTGAAAGAATAGACTTAAAAAACCAGGAAAAAACAGTGCAATACTCACCTTGATCCACTTTTATTATACCCACTGGGCAGCCTCTGTCCACACAGTAAGGTGTAATACTGTTAACAGATCAAATGACAGAAAATAATACAAGCACAAGAAATTAACAACTGATTCCCTGAATCAGTTCTTCAGGCAAATAATATGAATGCAGCTTTAAGCACTTGGGAACTTTTTCTGAACCCTTCAATTTCTATAAATTACATATCCTGGAACAAAGCAGCAGCAGAAAAAACCTGGATTAAATTTTATCATATTGTCTATGGTGAGATGTCTGGAATAAGTAATAAAACAGTGAAGTATTTATTTACTAAATTACACATGGGAATTATAGTCACTACACCCATGCTTCTTTGAATATATGACAATCACAATTAATGTGGCCTACAAAATGTTTATTTGAAAACCATACAATGATGCTCTATGACCTACAGAGGTATTAAAAAGTCTGTGATGAGATAAGACTACAATTACGTCAACAGGCTTAAAAGATGTGTTGGAAACAATCATTCCTATCATAATGCACTATCTATCCTAACACTAACCTGGCACACCTGAAATAATTTAGAAGAGCTGAGTATAATATTAAAATAGATGTTTGGGAAACACAGTTTAGAGTGTGGATTTGATTAATTTGTTGCAGTACAAGGACCTATCTCAAGCTCTTGTGAACACAGTGATGAACCTTTGGGGAACTTCTTGACTAGCTGAGCATACCATCAGCTTCTCAAGAAGTACTCTGTTCAATGGAGACAATTAGACACCAAAATGAAGATTCAACCTTCACACCTCCCAAGCACAAATCATTCATGTTCCTACTAAGTTAATATGTTATGATGCATCTGCATAATATTACTCACATCATCGCTTTCATGAAACAGGGGGCAAAGCGAGTTTTCCAGGAGACTGTAGGCATACTCATAGGCTTGAAACAATGGCGGTGTAGTACGAAGTTTTACAATGTTCTCAGCTGGCTCCTGCAATACTAAAACAAAACTGGACATTTCAAGAAAGAAAATGCTATTTCATAACAAAAAACTAATAATTCCGCAAGAGATCTATACTCTACACTATTCTTAAAAGAAATTCCATGTCCACTGCTGGTTTAAAGAGCCCATCATCTAACACATTCCTCCAAGAGCATAAACAAATACAAATAAGTATGAAGACTATTGAGAGATTTTAAAAAAACAGCAGCACAAGCCCACAAAATGACAAAAAAGTGCTGAACACCACACTTTGAGAGACACTGACAAATATGTGAAAATTAATTTTAATTCAAAATGAAAATGCACAGCAGTTGAGAAACAATGCATTAGCAGAGCTTGTGGACATTTACAGGGTTTGGCCAAGAGAATTATGTTACAAACAAGATGTTCTGTGTTGTGTCTGTGAGAGTGAAAGCAAGGGTATACCTGCATGCATCTCAGTGACAACCTGCTGTGAGAAGTGAATCCTGTCAGGGGACTCCAGGCTGAAATACACTGAGAACAGATCCCAAGCTTCCTTATACAGATTTTCAAGGTCCTGCTTATTCACATCTGGTGTCAACATCTTGCGATTGAATTCTTCTGCAAACAGATATATATCAAAAAACATTAAACAATCATAATTAACTACTTGATGCTGGCACACAGTTGGTCACAACAATCAGTTCTGTATCAGGATTGCTGGATGTCATAAGATATGATGATTTATACATAAAACCACTTTGTAATCAACCACTCTTAAGCAGCAAGTTATGAATACGTATGAGAAAGTAAAGACTTAGTTTCACACATTCTCAACATTGTAAGTAAATGGAGATTAGTAGCCAACTTCACATCCTAGCATTTCACCTCTGAGGAAATAAAATCTATTACCCACTGGATAGAAGGCTGGTTGGACCCACAGCCAGTCTTCAAGACTAAAATCCTGCTCCTGCCAGGAATCAAACCCCAGCCATTACACTGACTAATATACTATCTCTTGTCAACACTGTAGCAGAGTGTTTGAAGCCTTGTATCTTACTATCATGTAAGGCCTTGGTTACCATGAGAACAATTAATGATGGTAGGTCTGTAAGTTAAATATGCAGTAACTGGCAAGGTTGCACAATGCTTTACATGTTTATAGGGAATTCACAGCAATACTGAAAGGATTTTGAGGAAATGATTTCTAGATGATTTCATAAATGGCACAGATGCTGGAAAGAGTATAAACAAAAGATAAGCACTCTGAAGGTGATCACATTAACTAAAGGTTAGTGATATGTTTTTATTTACAGAATCAGTCTGGTTATTTAATTGTCAGATTTCAAATGTTGATGTGAAAGTGAATTACAAAATAAACAGTTGATCTAAGTGTAACTTAATAAAGAATAAATGGCTTACATGGGAAATTCTTACATCCCTTTTAAAGGCTTACCACCTACCTAATGGCTACAATCTCCTTGCATGACACGACCTCAAAAGAAAAGAATGTCTTACCAACATCTAAACAGAACTGCAAGATGTTTACACAGCCCTCTACCTTCAGAAACTGCATGAAAGGATATAGCAAAGACTGGTCTTTCAGTACACTTGAAAGATCCAGTCTCAGGGCCTGTAAAAGAAAATAAAAATCATGTATCATACAATTACAAGATTCTTTCAAACATTTCACTTTCAATTACCTGTTATAAAGAGGTAAAAATTGAAAAATTCACAAGTCATTAAAACTCATCTTCAGAACGTAACATATTAATACATAACTAGAAACTCTTGTTACAGTAATCATTAATCCAACATTACAGTATGACCAGTGATCATCAGAAAGTAGATTTAAATGTAAAGTAGTTAGTTTCCGCATTAATTCTGAGTAAGAACTGATCAAACAGCTAAATCCATGAAAGCTGAAGAAGACTTGTTCTATTATTTAATTCTCTACCTTTGTTCTCATGTTTTGGCCACTAGAAAAGTCTTACTTTCCTCTAAATTCCCAGTCAGTGACTGTGATCCTGCATTTTTTTGCATGAAATGAAGCAAAATGTAGCAAAATTATTTAGTGTCTTCCTGGCCAGGCCAATGCAATGAAGACCTGAAAGGGTAAAACATTTTGAGGCATTCTGTTGGGAAGTTAAAAATCCTTTTTAAAATGAGTTCATTAACCATGAGCAGAATGACAATGTCTCTGCACCAGATGTGTTGATGAAAGCTCAATCTTTAAGTGACAATTATGGGCTAGAAGGTTAAGTTTAACTCCCAGTAGGGATGCTGAGATATTTTCTCTTCCATGTTCATACAGAATGATCCTGGTGTTCACCCAGCCTCCTATTCAGTGGGTACTAGGGACTGTTTTAATGGAAATGAAGGCAGATGGAACATGAAACTGACATCTCACATCCACTTAGTTTTAAGGTTAAGAAATATACCTCCATAACCACTATATACTTTCATTTCATGGTGCAAATTACAAGGTTAGTTTACCTTACTGCAGATTCAAACAAGACATTTAATTAAAGAAAACAGCAAGTAAAGTTCAGCCTGCAGACCACATGCAGCCCACACTCTGTTTGAGACAAAATGGCGCATGACAGATTTTCTGGCATCAAACTCTATTATGCATTGAGATTTCCATTTTTAAACTACAACTTTTTTAAAGTTTACTACATATTTGCTTTCCTGAAAATTTATCTGATACTTACAGAACCATGAGAAACAGGAACAGATGAAACAAACCGTGCTAAGAACTCAACTCTTGTGGGAGGCCGATTAGGATACTGTGAAAGTGTGTAGTTATCCAAGAGAAGCAAAAGCAAGCTGTTCACAACTGCAGGATCTGCTAAAACATCTGTTATTGGGAGGAGTATCCAACCACTCAGCAACTCTCGAATCAGTACACTGAAGTTCCTGCCAACACAACAAGGGTGGAAGAATGTACTCAAAATTGAAGTACATACATTTTCCAATGCACGCCTTGCAATTTTGTGTATCTCGTTGGCTTTGCTGTTCATTCACCACAGACAGAAAAATGCTGTTGGAAATATATCACACTGCATAATCTTCTCCTTAAAATGTATCCACTTTATGTGGGTTAGAATTAGAAATCATGTTCTTTTTAATTATATTAAATATTCACCATGCAAAAGAAAAAACTGTTTCAAATATAAGATACATATCTTAATGGGACCTACATTTATGGACTTATAATTTGTTTGTAAGAAAAATTGATAAGTCCAATTCACATAAACTAGAGGTTATCCTGTGACCAATATGTACCAATACCAAACACCAATATCTACCCCAATCAGTTCAACCATTTTATTCATCTTGTGCAAGGAAAACATAAGAAACTAAAAAATCATGTGGCAGGTACAAAGACAATATGAACACTTCTTGCACCTTTCCCAGGACACAACCATATCAATGTTAAATTCATGCTGTGAGCTCACAGATGTGGCAGAACACTGCCTTTCTTTCTGTCAGGAAGATTTAGAGTACACATTACTGGTACGTGTATATTATTACTCACCTGCAGTGTAACTGGCTGGATGGCAGTAGCTGCGGAAGCAACAAAGCAGTGAGCTGTCGCAGATACGATAGTTCGTTGTCTCGATTTCTAGCAGCAGGATGGAGACGGGGACCTAGATACTGAACAGCAGCCTTATCCAAGGGAATTTGCTGTCTACTGGACAGCCGCAGAACACCCAGATAATCATCTAAGTGACTCAACCCAGCTGGGACTAACTTGTTTATAATAACATAAGCCAAATCTACCTGATTCAAGGAAAATATCATAATTACAACAGAACTGTCAAGACAAAGTAAGAAAATCCCTATAAATAGCAAGTAAATTCTTCAATTATCTCTTAACATTAATGTTAATAATTATGTTGATATCTACAAACAAGTCATTTTTCACATGGTTTATTAATGCTTTCACTGTAGTAAACAGAACATCCATTTTCATTCATTAGCCACACACCATTTGCTCATTCAATGCCACATAATTTTACAATTCATAAAGTAAATAAACTAAATATCTACCAGTCAATCAATGCTGTATAAACTATGCAGTCAAAGAAGCACAATACTGTAAACCATGTAAAAGAGTTCAGTAATAGGTTTCCAATGACACACAGACAAAATAATAATTTTAGTATATGTACACGTTTTAGAAGATACCTGTAATCCTCTGCGAAGTAACACGCTGGCAGCATAACGAATGCTTTGCCTTAGTTCCAGTACAAAACTCTCATCAGGTGACAGATTGTTATACCATGAATATACAAACTCCTTCAAGGTCTTGTTCAGGAACTGGAATATGACAATAAAGTTATCAACAATTTTTAACATTCTTCTTTAACTCCAAATAGTGATAAATACTATTAAGGAAACAGCAACAATATCCACTGATTAGGCAGGCAGGTGTGCTCCAAAGCCGGTATGGGCACTGTGGAAAAAAAAAGTCTAATGGAAACTGAAGGCTGGTCATCTCTCCCATATCTAGAATTTAATATCTGACACTGCATCTTCACCTGTCAAATGCCAACATTATAATTTATAAGAAACCCTGTGATACAGAATACTTCTCCAGGTATGAAATTTTACAGTCATGGGCTTTGATTTTACAGTTTAATTTTAAAAGTCATATTATATTTGCTTATATATGATATTTATTCAGGATAGGGACCAATGGTGGGCTCCTGTAAAGATGTTAATGAACTCTGGATTCCACTGAAATGCTGAACAGATGTAATATTCTACATTAGTTAAGAAACTTATGTATTGATGGCATTTAGGATTTTCTCTATTTGGAAATCTTTGTCAGATTTTGTGAAACATTAAAAAATAAAAAAATAAAAATTGAATCACATAATTACAAATCTAATTTTCTAATACTGCATGAACTTACATCTTCAATAGCTTCATCAATCTCATCTGGGACTTCTAGACCAATCCATGGCTGCCGGGTATGTGAACTAGGGCCAGCACGATGTCGATTACACTTACCACTGCCGCACACTCCACACCATGCTTTTAATTCCCTGTCAGTATTGATAGGAAATTTGGAACCTCAGATCTGTACCTGATTACATCAAAGGGCATTGCATAAGTATCACAATCTAATCTTCATATAACAGTCAGAATAAAATTACTGTTAAAAGCTCAGTACAAGTACCAACTTACTTGAACACAGAATTAAAAATTATGAAACCTCCAATGTAAGCTGATAATACAACAATTCCGGAGAGGAAACTGAAATAGTAAAGAAAGTGACCTTCAAGTATAGATATACACGGGATATAATGAGTTCTGCTTTCAAAATTGAACAGCTAATGTGCTAAAGTACAAACCTAAACATTACAGACATAAACAGACACAATATTATAATAACTAAAATCGACGTTCGGGACAATCTGTCATTCCAAATTAAAAATATAAGTGTCTTGGCTTCATTCTCGTCCATTTTCCAGATGGAAAATTAGGATCCCGATTTTTTCAATTCTACTCCCATTAATTCACAACTGCTTATATTATGTTCATAAATCAGAACATATTCAAGTATAACTTAATTTGTTCTTACACACCTCCCACCAATACCTTTGACAGGAACAGTGAACTTCGTATTAGAAATTTCCCTCCGTCCAGCAGAGAATTTTCTTCATATAAGGCTTTCAGGGCAGGTAGTCTTCTCAGTTGTAACATGCTCACTTCTCCTACCAGAGTGCAGGCCATATAGTGAGCTCCTCAATAAATTTTTACTATAACTAAAATTAGATGCTTATAATTACAAAAACAATTGTTCTGCATTGAACACTAGCTTCCAGTACGTCTTGAATGGCGTACATCGTTTATCAATAATCGCTTCGTAACTTAGAACTCAATATTTTGTCTCCCAACCTCCCTGAAATTAGAAAACAAAGATTGAACGAAAGTAATACCAAGCCCACCACTTCCGAAGAAAATTTGGAATAAATATTCTTTGCGCATCATGCATTGCCAATCCAAAAATGTCTAGCCTGTTACAAACAACTTGATTTCACTTCCAAAAAAAATATACTATATAATCTGCATAAGTCATTAATTTATTCACCTCGTTATCATTTGTAACGGACAACAAAGAAACTCAGATATCCACAATATACAGACATAACCTTCATTTACCAAACACTAAACTTTGTAAATGTAAAAAAAGGAGTTTACTATACTAAAATTAAATTATTCAATAAACTTCCCCCACTATATATATAGTCTGAATCACGATATAAAGAAATTTAAGCCAGCACTAAGAACATCTATCTCACTTCTTTTACTCCACTGAAAATTTATCTCAACCAAAATTTCTCAGCTATTATAAATACATGTACACAATCGGGGTTATCATTTTTCATGTAATTATTTCTGCTGTAATATTGTAAATTACTGTTTTGACCATATAATTTATAATTGTATTAAAAACAAGTGTTTTTGTGCTATGATATGTTCAACATCTTTGGCTTAGGCCTGCAAAGGATCTACAAAATGTAAATAAATTCTATTCTATTTATCAGGCGATACCAACCAATGGTCACCTACTACCTCATGAGATTTTAATATTTTTCCAAAAACAACATATTATTAGAAGCTTGCTTTTTTATTTTTTCCCCTCGGTGTAACATACATTTCACACCAGTACAAAAATGGTAAAATTATATTTTCATGTTATAATTTTAAATTATTTACAAATCAGATGAGACAAACAGTTTTTGTACTTATTTTACTCCTGAAGGAAATGACATTTCAGGCATTGGATTTCACAATCATCCAAAATATGCAAGTGTACCTTTTTGGGTATAACTGGCTTTTTCAAAACAAGTGCCCACTTTGACTCAGAAAAACAAGAAGGTACAATGAATGCTATTGCAAATATCTGCAGAGTATTAGACAAAAGCATACAGCAATAGTCTGTAAGCAACCATGCACCATTACTACGCTACTTAGATAAGGCTGCCTACTTTCAAACTGCAAATTAATTGAAGATTTCTATCTTCTGGGTTGTTGCGCAACAACCCAAAGACAGAAATCTTCATACTCACCACCGTGAAAACTTCAAATCTTGCAAATTAATTCTTAACACATATTATAATGCCTATATAAAACCAATAACAGGTACCCTGTTGTCCAGTGTGAGTGTGATATTGCAGAATTATGAAGCTTTTACTTAGAACTGAAGAAGACTACAAATGAAACCCCAACTTTTTTATTTTGCTTCAATGCATTTAAAGAAATACTGAGAAAAGAGTGAAAAACAATGTATGCACTGCAGAGATTAAACTTTAAATCACAAACACTTTTTTAAGACAATATATTACGTCAGGGCAAAAAGCATCAAATATTACAGTTTGTCATAAACATGTGTTCATCATGAAGATATTGCTGTAACCCAGAAGACAACCATCTTCATACTAACAGCTGTAAAAACCTCAAATCCCATGAATGTTCATGAGCCAGGGAACTGGGGGGGACTACTCATTGTAAAATACTAACATATAATAAAATATTACAAGGACTCTGATGGATTAAATGATTCAGGAACTGATCAACAGCAGGTTGTTGTGAATATGGTAATGTACCTTTGGTTTGCATAAAAAGCAGGTAATTCCTTTATCAGATTCTCAAGAAAGTCTTCATTTCATATGGTTAGCTATAAAGGAGATGAACATGCAAAGGATGGACACCAGTGTTGGGCTTTGATCCTACCGTTTCATAGCAGACTTTCTAGAACAGATGCACATCTGTTAACTGTTCAGGGAAAAACCTGCCTCAGAGAACGATATAGTGTTCAGATCAAATGCCCACTAAAATTAAAAATATAAATGAATATTCAAACGTTCATTCAAGAATATAATGTATGTCAGCATAGTTCATACATAATTCACTTTATTAATGCATAAAGTGGACTTCATGAGTAACTTTAATCTTCCAAAGTAATGTTATCTTGGCAAACAGTACACACTTCCATTGTCAGTAAGAATTATGATACTAATAAAGAAATAACAGATATATGCAGGCTTATGTATTAGAGAAGATAATTTTAAGCAATACTATAGTCTGCTGACAGTGATTCAGCTATTACATGAAGATTTTCTTCTTTCTTAAACAATGAGTACATTTACAATACTTCGGTGGCTCAATGTATATGCTACCAAAATTTATTGCTGTAAATATCTTGTCTTAGTGCTAAGTAAGATGTCACACTCACCACATTTACTAAACTTGAATAATAATATTCTGCACGCTTTGACTACAAAAATTACACTTTATTGTCTGTTACCAGCAACACTCTTAACAAATTAAATGATCTACCTCACGACTGAATTCTTTCGCCTTGTGTAAGTGTTGCCTTTGAACTGACGGACTGGGTTGAACACATATAAGTCTTCTTCAGGGTTCTGAAATCTTGGAAAAGCTTTAAATTTGAATCTAGTATTTTTTACCAAATGACCAGTTCTGATATTGTTGAAGCTACTGCTTGAAGCACTAGCATTCACACCTGTTCTGACTGCAATTTTTGAAACATTATTTAAGTCTGAGCCCATTGAATTCCGCTTGGCAGATTGAAAGTGTTCACTTTGTTTACACAGTCTTCGTTTCTGACTACTTCTTGTAAATCTTAACTGTAGGCTAAAAGAGCTATTTACAGATCTGTCATAACTAACATCAGCTACAGACTTCAAATCTGTAATGAAAATCTTCCTCATTGCAAGACATCTATAGGAGCTAATGGGGCTACCACTCCAATTCAATTTATGTGACTCCTCTGGTGAATCTCTGTATACAACTTTGGCACACATATACAGGAACCAACAAAGAGAGCAGTTGCAAATAAGAGTGAAGGCATATTCAACAGGCATCACTTCCATTAACACATGCATAGCATCACAAATGAATTTCTTTATATCTGATTCTTTTGATGAATTTGACAAAAAACCCATACTCAGTTGATGGAATATTACATTAAATTTCTTTTCCAGTACACATCCATCAGACAGACCAAAGAATGAAGTAGAGCCAAGTTTTACAGTAGCACGGTCTGCAGGACCAACTTTCTCTTTTTCAAAACCTGGAGTACATGGAAGGGTAATTAAAATTCCTTCACTTGATGTTGAAAATATCTGTTCAACAACACATGAAATAGTAGTTATTGTTTGCTGCATATTATTGTACCAAACTTCATTATCTTCTGATTGAAATGGACTGATGTTATCCTGAAGCAATGCAGCAACAAAGTTAAAAGTAGAATCTTGAGATACATTAAACACATGTTCTTGAACAGCAGCACTCTTAGAATCAGCATCATCTAATGCAATAACATTTGGCGAATCATCTTCTAATGCAATAACATTTGGCGACACATCTTCTAATGCAATAACATCTGGTGAGGCATCTTCCAATGCAATAACTTCTGGTGATGCATTTGTTTCATAACAGGACTCGCTGGATTCATTTACATTTTTTGGACTTTCTGAATTATTACCCACATGATTTGGTATAATCACATATGTTAATACATTATTCATATTATAAGAACTATTGGGAGACCTGAGCACATTAGTGTCAACAGGAGTCAATATACATACATGTGATGATTCACTTGCTATACTGTGAACAACTCTTGAAAGCTTTGTTTCTGAAGATTTAGATTTATCAGAACTTATATCCGATATTTTTACACGTGCTGTATAACCTGGAACTGCCTGATGTATAGCAAGTTTAGTGTTGGTTGAGATCTTTTCCTCATTATTTTTATCCATGACAATTCACTATGCTATAAGGTGTAGTTCAAAAACCAATGGTTACAAATTCTGACTAACAACTAAGTAATAAATTTCTACTTTCCAGAAACACACAAAGCTCTGTTTACATCATAACTTACACATCTTAACTATAATTCACTATAATACTCTTTCTGTCTATATTTACTGTGGTAAACACAAATTGTGCCTAATTTGGTAAAATCCAAACTGGTTACCATTTAATGTTATAACACAATAAAGCTATTCAATAATCTTGTTCTTTTGCAGTAATCCTGTAACTGACTGTAAATTACTGTCATACCTAAGTAATTTATGTTTGTACTAAAAAGAAGTATTGCATTTGTGCTATTACATGTTCTACAGCCTTGGCTTAGGCCTATAAAGAATCTACAAAATGCAAATACATTCTATTCTATACAATTCTACAAGATTACCAGTGCCTGATATAACATCACAGTCCAAAACTTGTCTTTAAGTGACAAATGTGGTGTAGCTGTAGTCTCTAAGAATGTCTTGACTCTGAAACAAAGAATGTGAAATAAGGTTACATGAGGAGTTCACACATGGCATCCTGAGTGTATGTTTGAACTGTAAGAAACACTGAATTTGTAATATGTACCAAATCTACAAAAAGCCACTTCAATCACATTCACAATGTGCCAATGTTATGTTGCCTGAAAATACATTATTCACAATCAGACAAAATGAATATTCATGTGAGACATTTGAGGATTCAACGGTGATGCATATTTTCTCTGTGATGTTCTGGTTTAGCACAGTGCTGGCCACAATCCAAATTCATAAGAAATTTAAAGTTTTGAATGACAGTGAAGATTGTTAACACTGGGCTTCTACCATGAAGATGAAGATGGCATATTTCTCCGAGACGATGGTACCTACCTATAAATCGACATGACGTTACAAGTCAGAAGGCCATCATCGTCAAATATTCAGAAGTATAATACACATGTGTTCCTCTATGTACGCTCAATATTTGAACATTTAATCCTAATTGTTGACTGTACCTTGTCCCAAAAAAAATGACGGAATAACTAGAAATACAATTATTTACACATACACTTGAAGAATGTTCTTAAAGACCATAACCTTACATGAAGAAAACTCTCGTTACACCAAACTACAACCTTTCCAAGTCAGCATAATAAAGTAAAGCATATAATCCCAAAGCGTCCTGGACAACAAACATTTCATAAAAAGTAAATATTGTGCAATATAACACTTTGTATCCCAAACAACCTTTACTACAGCACACTAAATAAGATCAAGTTACTCTTGGTTACGACCACAGATAAAATAACGACTGCCGTGATAAGTAAGGTGTGTTCATGCGCTGCTGACGTGACGTAGTCTTGATCATCTTCCACCACAATAATCAACTCTGGAATGGATACTCGATTTTAATAACATTCAATATTGAGGAACCTAACGAAACATTGGCGAACCATTTAAATGTTATTTTATATCGAATAATTTTAATGGTTACCTTACATGACACAATAAACAATGTTTTGAGCTTATTTCAAACAGTTCAAGAGAAAAGAACGTTTGGAGGAAATGGATTGGATTAATATGGTTTAAGACAATAGCCCCTGACTAGTGCTTGTGAACGGTAACGAACTTTCGGGTTTCGAATGACTTATTTGTAAAAAGTAAACATGAACAATAAACTGAATAATTAGATTTAATCTTAGGTCTATTAATATTTGATGGCAGCCAGTCACTCCTCTGTTCAAGAAATTCTCCCTTTAAGAAATTTGACCATTCTTTCCATCTTGAATCCAGTCACCTTAGTAAGATGCTGGAAGACTCGATACAGCGAAGATGATATAGATTTTGTTTTGCAGCTATAATATTCAAAGTAATATAGCAATCGTGGACATAAGATGACTTAAATATTGTCTTTAGTCGTCATTTTTACTGCCACATTTAAATGCTATTTCAGTTCAACTGCAATTACATAACATCTTTTCAATACAGTTGTACATTTATATGCATAGAAGAATTAGATAAATTAGTAATAAATTAAAATTAGTGAATATGATAATTGTTGCTATAGTGGTTATATTTTAACGTATGTTTTATAACTTATATTGTAGGAAACTGGACCTTATTCATGAGGATAGTATCAGTTTAGGGTAAAGACTTAAATTATCAGTGATTCCAAAGATGGTTTTAATATATAACATTAGTACTTGGTACACACAAATTATACATTTGCAGTACTTGATTTTGACAACAAAGAGGAGGCAAAAGTGACAGTATAGGAATAGATTGTTGCATTTGTACATGTATTATTATTTAATTTTCATATCATCAGCAAATGCATTATTAAAATATCTTTTACAAGTATTCATGCTGAGTAACAGTTTTATAACAGTAGGTTCTCATACAATAAAATTAACAAAAATAAATCTGAGTGTTCTGTTTTTGTTCACTATGAAGTGATTTACTGTGTACATATTTCAAAATTGATAACTTATGAGTGAGGTAAGAATTTGTCAGTTCTGCAGAAATAAAAAATACATACTATTTAAATCTTCTGAGAATATAAAGACACAAAATGGAGACAGCACATTTATAAACAAAATCTGACAAGCAATTTTGGATACAATTTGTTTGAAAATCAAATTTATATTAAAAACAATACATGTGCCTAGAACATATACAAATAATTTTATGATTAATGGGTCTTCCTCTGCTTTAAAATTATGAAGTACCTTTGGCTTATATTTGAAGACAAAAAACAGCTACATGACTTAAAATGTATTTTTATTTTAGTACATTTTTTATATTTGAAACTAATTCAATTGGTATCAATTTTATTTCTGTTGCTATGATAGAAATACATAGACAAAAGGAAAACTCAATTCTGAAATATGCAAAATACAGTTAACTATTTTTGTACATCAGTGATATAACCAAGCCTCTTACAATTGAAATGATTTCTCATATTATCATACCATTCTTTAAATGACTATGTCTGAACAGAGAAGAATGAAACCTATTTTAAGTAATTATGTGCCCAGTACTTTGAGGGTGAACCGTAACATACAGTTCAATTTGATAAATATTTTTCATATTTCAAACATAGAAAATATGAAAAAATGAACTGCTACATTAATATTTACTTGTCTTATAAAGAGCTCCAAAATATTTAGGTACCTACATTGATGAAATCATAAGCATATTTTATGTTACAAATTAATCACACAATTATTGATGTATAATAATACATAGAATATGTGGGTCATATTGTTCACAATATATCAAAATATAGCCTATAATATATATTTTTATATACTGATGTTATTAGGCTTACATGGGATAAGTGATAAAATAATTAGTATATGCTGGAAACCCGTTTTACTCATAAATATGCCAAGTCAACAATCACTGCATAGCATTAGCAATTATATGTACAATATAAACAAGAAACCATAAAATACAGTGTTCATTTATGTTCAAATGGAAATATTATATGTTCAGGAATATACTGTAACTAGCTGAAATACAGTACTTTCAACACATAAACTTGTGCGTACAATGTACTGGTTAGAAGAAAATGGACAACCAATTTGGTCAGCCATATTCTTACCCAGTCAAGTGTAAGATTTTAGTAAATTACTCATTATTGACACCTGAGCATATAAAATAAGTTTCACAATGTTGCCACACTCCACCCTTTGGAGTAATTCCTTGATCCAATTGTATGAAAACTGAATCATTCACATGATTTTGTCAAAGACATTTCTAGTATTTTTAAAATAAAATACAATTTTAATTATCTCGTAGAAGAAAATTATTTACAATTAGCAGGCTGTAAGTAGTGAAAACAAGATTGGAAAGGTGTACTCTTCAGAGTACAATAAAGTTCCAAAAGTGTTCTTCATGCCACATTATGGGCAGTGATGTCAGCAGGTAGCTTTAATGATAACCACATCTCAAAATAAATGTGGACTTATATCATCCCCATTCAAAATGAATAAGAAGGACAGCAACAATGGCATCCATGGTCATTAATGTGAGTCAACAATGATTTGGTCAAATTTAACTGTGTTTCAAACTTACTTAGACTTTAATGTTAGAGGGGAAAGAGAAAAACATGACATATTATAAAGTAACAGTTTTCTTGATATCGTTGCAGTATGGTGAAATGAGGATTTTATTATTCTGAACTTTATTACTTTATATTAAATGAGAGCACTGGAAGTGAAAGGGGCAACAGTACTACATGATGTAAATTCAAAACTGAAAATGTTATGTGGTTAGATAAACCAAATACTTTTCTCTTCTGGGAAAATTTTTATGAAGGAGAGAATATGGAATGTAGGAAGAAGGATATTGTGAGACATCACATGTGTAATATACAACAAACAGCACAGAAAAATGATTGGAAGACAAAAGCATCTACTGACACCTATATAAAAATGAAGTGTAAGTCATACGAAAATCATGAACACATACAAAGAAGAGTAAATGGTAAACAGAATTCTTTTAGAAAATATATTATCTATATTTCCCAGGGAAATTGTTAAAAACTCCTAAGATTAATGATAATAAAAGATAAACATATGCTAGAAAAGTAGGACTCCCATTCACACTTTCAATAACATGCTACATCAAAAATCAAACTCATTCATATAATCCAGTGTTGCCATCTAATTACAACATTTTGTGCATTTCAAACAAAACTTTGTTGCAACAGTAGTGTTCTCACGGAGAATACCATGTAAGACAGAGCATTAACAATTACATATGCAGAATATTTTAAATTATAGTTTAATATTGCAAATAAATATAAAGATGGTATGTCATTGACACTTTATGAAGTATTTTCTGAATTATAAGCACACTTGACCATTAATTGCAAAATCCAATAACATTTCACACACTTTTACATTAATCTATGAAGTACGGTAATAACAGTTTGGCAATATCATAATATATTATAGTTATAATTTTTAAAACATGCAATCTTTGCCTGATATAAAAAGGATTAAATGTATTTTGTTGTTCTGTACACGCCTCCAGAGAATATATTTGATTTGACTATTTACTGACACATACATCACAGTGACAGTGGACCATATTAAACTGAAACAGCCAAGCAAAATTAAACAACATTATTGATCGTTTTCTACCTAAATGAAAATAAATAGCATTCTCATACAAAATAATTTTCTCATAAAATAAACATTCAGACTTGCATTTCAATTCATCACTTCTTAATTCAAATTTTGACATTTCATGATTTTCCAGTGCCATTCATGTTTAAAACATATGCTTTATGGCTATAATGAGAGAAAGTCACTCTCCATGATACAGCAACTGACAAATATAATTAATTGGTCCTTTCAGTGGAATGTAAAACCATAAGTGTTTATATTAATATACAAAAGCTTGGCTGAACATTGTTAAAGTCTTGTAAGTTATATTTACACAATTTAAACCGGAGAGAGGGAGAGGCTATTTATTTTTCCTGCATGTCATTATTGACTTTCTTTGGTGGTTACAGGAAACACCACAGAAGATTTTTCAGATTTTATACTTTATGAAAAGTCCAGTTAACTGTAAACATTCTTTGTAACAATTAAGAATACTTTTATGTGTTACCAGATATTACCCAGTGTGACTGAGAAATATGTCTAAAGAACTTCTGAACTCGGAGCAGAAGATACTTTGATTGTATAAATAATTTTAATAGTATAATATTTACTGTGTTTTTATAAAACAGATATAGATCTAACACATTTTGACAAGTCATACAAATCAAAGATCAATTGTATTAAAAGTTGTATTTCCTTCAAGTTATCTCTTATGAGTGTGTAGAATCAGTTTGTTGGTGCATTCAAAGGAGAATATATTTAAAAAGGCAGTATATAGAAATCACTTAAAAATTCCCATAAATTCCACTAATCTTATAGGCCTACATTTGTACTTTCCTTGTTTCCATTCACTTACACTGGCCTTCGGTAAGACATCTTTAAAATATACTTTCTTCTGTGGTAATTTTTTCAATATAAGAGCTTAACCAATGAATGCATAACAATTTAAACATTTTGCAATGTTATTTCACAATGAATTCAGCTTGTAAGTCACAATGCAATGTTAAAAAAAATTATATTGTGATTATTTATTGATTAGCTCTCACAACATCTGCGCAAACAGAGTGTAAATATAAATATACACACCATACTCTTTAAATGATTTTAAGTAGTGATTTTTTCGGCTTGTGCTTCGTTAGAATTGCTACTCATATTTACCAGGGCATCATGTTCTGAAGGCGATGACATGACGATATGCGCATCTCCACTACTACTTATGCTAGCACGTGGAGGCAGTTGGTCTGCTACACTATTAATGCTTCTATCTATAAGGCCCATCTCAGCATTAACTAATCCATCAAATTCAGCTGTGATGTCATCTGTTGTAACTGGTTTTGTTCCGTTTTGCATTTCAACTTGCGCATTTTTCTCATTTTCTGTACTGGACTGGGCTGCTGGTCCTGAATCTCCCAATGCAGAGGCCTGGGACTCATCCTTGCTCATACGCTGAAGAATCTGAAGTTGTTGGCGGCGTCTCATGTACCATGGTAGCACCCAACACCTGAGGGCAGTAAGTACTAAGCCCAGAATCATGAGGAATCCGCCAATGGCCATGAGGTAGTAACGATCGCGGTAACGATGCTGGTTTGCATCGGCACTGGGTGTCAGCTGGACCAACCCAACAATCAGCAGAATGGCACCAAGGAGAAGCGAAACCACAACCAGGTGCAGGATTGACACCTGAAAGTAAAGAACAAGGACTAATGCGAGCCTTTAGATGAATGCCTATGTTCAATTATTAAACAAAACAGAGTGTAAAGCAATGAACTGGATTTAAATGGGTCAGTATATTCTTTTGTGAATGCAGAGAAAAATATTCAGATTCTTCCCTGAAATATTCACATTTCTTAAGAGAATGGAAATTTTTGACTAGCTGAGAAGATACAGCATTGTGTACTTCAATAACAAACAATAAATTTTGTGGCACTAACAAGTTTATATAAAAATGTGTGAAATATTTATTTAAAAAAGCATCTAAATTAAAATAAGATGCATGTGACTTATTTCAATGTAGTAAGATTTGAGGATCTCTCTAGGTTCTATAGCCTACGAGCCATTTATCTTCATTTCAGCTTAGTAGGGAGACTGATACTAAAATGTCTGTTACAGAAATAGGGTGAGAGGGTGTGTATTGTACTGAAGTGGTTTTAAGTCGCCGATCCAGATTTACGTTGGCTTACGTCCAATGTTCTCTTCAATTTTCTCGGTATCAGTTGTAGAGTTGCTGCCTCTGCCTTTCTTAACTTCCGGATGAGTTTATACGCATTTCTATTACTTACTTAATGTCCACAGAACCCCAAAATAATAGGTCAGATATCGCTTTCAATTGAATGTCGTAAAATCGGTGAAGTACTTAATTTAACTTCTCTCTTTTCGGACTGAAGTAACGCTCAAGTTCTTCATCAACCCAGACAGATCGTCTCCGATGCTTTTAGCCAAGAACAATCACTCTTCTGGAATCATTAGCGGAAAATAAAATCTTCTGCCACAGATAGGCCATTTCTCACACATGCTGAGAGCAACGACTGATTATTGAAGTATAAAATAAGAACGATTAAGTATTCTACATATGATGCCTAACTGACAAATGCTGGTCCATTTATCACGCCTTTCCATGATATCTCCACATGGAATTAAGATCCGAAACTGTACTCAGTTTCGGATCTTAATCTTAATCTTAAGCAGCGATATTAAGATATTCTTAATTACAAAGGTCTTAATTAATTTGTAATTTCCAATATGTAGTTTATAGAAAATTGTATGTAAATAACACACACAAATTAGATACTTATCATAAATTTTATCGTAAATTAAAGTTATTATGTCCGTAGTACACGTATCACCATTATTTTTATTTTATAAACATAACTGGACATGAAAGTATGACACTAAGCGTGTTCAAAATTATGTTTAACGCGGGTCTTAACATTAGTCTTTACGCAGTTTGATTAGCGTTTAGAATATTTTGTCCTACTGGATTATTATTTAAGCAATCTTGTGTATTTTGGTGCATATATAAAATATATTCAGTAACTATGATTAATTGGGCGTTATTTAAATAATTTAAGATGCATTCACAACTAAAAACTGTAAAACGTGCCTCTTAGCTTCGATTGTCATAAGATTTGCCTACACATTCGCTTCTTTATTAATAATAATACGAGCTCACATGAAGACCTACACGCTCTTCTGAGTGCGTACGTTGTCTAATTTACTCAGGGATTCTTCTTTCAAAATAGGCCCATCCGGCCACCAGGACATAAAAATGGCAAGCTATAAAATGTTTTAATCAGTCCATTAAAACGGATAGTTGAATTTACAGTAAAGGGAGCAGCTTGCACAAAGCTAAATGCCAGAGGATTCTACCCCCAAAAAGTTAACGGGACGAAACTGTGGAAGATGAAAAAATATTAACTTCTCACGTGCCTCTGTATTAGTCGCAGGTGCATTAAAACACACGAATAAGAACCACATAACTGTTCTGAATCTCGACAGAAAAAGAAAATGAAACGAAACAAAATTGTTTTTCTTCAACTGACCTTATTATAAAACAAAGAAAGAGGCACATGTCTGGTTTGCATTGTCAGACACGTCGTGAATAAAAATATGTACCACGAAACGTACTTTCTAAACACAAAAATTAAACAACAGAATATATTCTTATATTCGTATTTTCGAGAAAGTACTTGGAGTTAATTTTATCAAAAAAATTCTTTAGTTTTCATGTTTCCGTGGTAACTTAAAACGCTTCCTGAAAGGTTCCATACAATTTGATGGGTGACAGAGACTAAATATCGACAGGAGGAGGTGCGTGCTTGCGTGTGTGAAATTACGAATTGTCTCCCCGTTTCTTCGTCACATCATTTATTTTTAAATCGCAATGCCGGAAGCTAGGCGCACAGAACCTGTAAACAGTTGCGTCTGAATCTTCAGCAGAGCAGCTAAATGCTGCGTGGACCAGATCGCCTCACCTTGCCACAAATGTAGAATTCTTGGGGTGTGTCATCGTTCTGGGTTGGCGGGCTCTGCAGAGGACTAGGGGTTGGAGACGACCCTCTGCTGGGGGGCGAAGGGTGCTTCAGCCCATATCCTCCCAAATACAGTTGACTCGGTCGTTTGCTTCGCTTTTCCTGTTTTCGTCGCTCGTGGCGTACCGCCACAGCTGGCATTGCCCCAATCATTGTTACCCCTGACAACATGAAAGTTACATTAAATATTTAAATATAGTGGCGATTAAAATTATAACTGTCGAGTAGGTAAAAGAATCGATATCAGGATCCGTGAACACTACAATCGACTATAACTGTGCAATTGTTCTTGCAAACAATAAAATAAAAATATTGTTTTCTGGATTACTTAGTTTTTAGACTTGTCCATCGTCTGGTATTCTAAAAAAAACACAGCGTTTCGGAGAATGAATGTGTTCGTCCTCAGGCGACTGGTCCAGTGACTGAGGTTAGCTGTTCTAACGGCTTAATAGAGTACCTGGACAAAGTTAAAAAAAACTCAGCAATCCAGATTTAAACACATCATTGTCAGACTCCTTTAAAAAAATTTCTCGCATCACACACAACTAATAATTTTTACTATACACTTACCTTTACAGAGAAGTCTGCTAGAAAACTACCAATATTCTTAAATGAGTGCCTTAAAACACCTAAGTCGGCTGTGAACGGAAATGACCGTAAGCTGTTTAATGGCGTATCATCTTTGGATGACTTTGCTTGTATCTTTGATAGGCTCCTTGATCATTTATTAGCAATCATAACTCCAGAGAGCAGAGGCCTCGCTGAGAAGCATAGTAGTTGAACTGGTAAAAATATGTCCCACATTTTGTGAATCCCTAAGGTTTACTCAGCTTGCTCACAAGATATCGCCAGCACAGCCCTATCCTGAGCCAGCTGAATTCAGTCCACACCGTCACACCTTGTATCTTTATTATAATGAGCTGGTACCTTATGAGATACAATTTATGTTTCACATTGCAGATTACAAACCCTGAAACTTGTTCACAAATCCCTTTATTCTTTGTGGGCAATTTATGCACATTTTCAGAATTCTCGTTGCAACACAAAAATATAAAAAATACTAAATCTGTATTTTTAATGATGCTTCTAACTACAACGTCTCCATGTGATCTCCACCCTCCCATCCCCACTAAAATTGTATATGCATATCTCGTCCTAGTGCCTGCTACATGTATCGTCCATCTCTTCCTGGTTTTTAACTGGAGAGACTGAGGAAAACCACAAACTCAGCAAGCAGAGGAGGTGTCTGGCCAGACATTCGAAGCAGCGATCTCCCGAATGTGAACCAGGGGTGCCGACCAGTGCACCACAACACGTCATGTATAATAATTGCAAACTGTCAAAATATAGGTAACTTCGTAAGGACCTGTATAGAACTAAAATTTGTAACAGCCTGTGCGGTCTTTGTTTGATTTCCTTGTAAACTCGAATCTTTATAAAATCCAGTATTTAAGAAATTCAATTCTATCAACGACGAACGATACGCTTCAGGTGGAAAGGCCGGACATACTTACTTCCTCAGTCTTCAGTAACATCCAATGAATTCAGTCCAAAATGGCAAATGCTCCTGAGCGAGATATCTCGTGCGTAACATGGAAATGACGGAATAAATAAAACATTTAAATGTGAGGTTATAAGTCTTTATTAATTGAAAGCAATATATACAAAAGTCATATAGAAAAAATGGCTTAAGAATGTTAGTTTTATCATCACAACTCTAGTATATGGCCATGCGTTGCAATGCAGTGTGTTTGTAGAGAATGTGATAGCATAGTTTAATGAGCACTCACTAAAATATCAGTAAATATTACATTATAATATAACAATTAAAGATGATCAAATTACATAAGAGAAACATCAATAATAATAAAATTACCTAAATGCAAGAACATTTATAAGAATATTAATGCCAGTAATTCTGCATCAACCCAGAGATTCTGAAAGAATAAATTACTTTACCCGTAAAACCCACATGTATTAACGTGCAAAACTTTGGCGTATTATTCTTAGTTGTTTCCATTCATTTTCACTAAACATATTAAGTTACAGATGCGGTGGTACCACGACAAATACAACTTAAACAACTTTGATACAGCTACTAGACGTAACAAGATTGGAAAGACGTACTCTTTGCTTTACACAAATATTCCAAAGGTGTTCTTTACGTAACCAAGGCTCAAAACAACTGGAGCTTAGACCACTCTTCCTGAATAGGAATACAGAATTGAACAATTGTATCTAAGATTAACGTAGCGATAAAGTGATCCTAAGACATCACTGTGAGCCAACAATAATCTCGGTTCATATTTTTTAATGTCTTCTGGAATGTAGTACCGAGCAATTTGGTAGAAACTGACCAAAGCTTCGCAAGATCGTACTGCTTCCATCATCAGATCACCAAGTGACGTACACTTAGTAAGGAACTGTTTGTGTTCATACAAATTGTCTCAAGGGGTTTGGCCAAATTTTGCACTTTTCAAAACGTGATTTAAATTAAGCATTTTGTTGTTACAATGTCATAAATGGTAAAAATATGTTTAAAATATATGTATTTAATTATGATTAAACTGGTCGATGATAAATTACTTATACACAGTATTAGAAGAGAAGACTACATATTATACATCAAATATTGATAATTTAAAATAAAATAAAAGCATTTTCATAAATTGTTATAAATGCGAAGCATAATTACAATTCCTTACTTCTGCGCAAAAAAAAATGTTTTTACATTATGTTGTTTCACACTAAAGTTGGAATTGATAACATTAAACTCCATATAAATTCTAAATGAAATACATCCACATTTATTATATTGTAACCGCTCATCCGACTTTAGTTTAGTTTTAATTAATTCATTTTATGTATTTAATCTTAACTCTTCATTAGGTTATAAGCCTTTTATATCAATTTATTAACATTTTTTATTTAACACTGATTCCTAAGCGATTTGTTCAATTTAGCATTTGTTTCAGAATAACACATCTGAAGTTATCCATTGTATTAACAACTACTTGGAGGTTTAGCACCACATGATTAGAACGGAAGTGGACGTCCGCTTCTAGGTGCTGTAAGTAATCCTTACGTTACGTGTGCAGAAAACGTATTTAGGGATTTACTTAGTTTTTGATCTACATCTAAATAGTAAATTCTGTTTACTACTCCACACAGAGTTACATTTAGGAGAAAGCATGGGAAAGCAGATTGTGCTAAAGTTGTCTCTCTCTCAATAAAATCTTCCCGGGCAATCAGCAGCGTTAACTGGTTACCGTAGTAAACCGACGTTTCGGGAACCAACTCTGTCCCCATCTTGAGGGTACTGATGTGACTGGATATCTCGGAAGTCGCCGCGAAAGTCTCAAATCCTATAAGTCTCTCTCTCTTTCATAGAAAAGGAGTGGTTCTTTACGCCAAACTCGGACCCTACGCCAATGGAAATTAGTGTTATATCTTTCTTGTTTGGAGTCTGCAGTTCGTTATCCAATGAGAAATGATTTGTGGGTGTTGGGAGTGACGGATTTCACTTCTCATTTGGCACTTGGCACTTTGCTTTCGGTAAGAAGCAGTTGGATTGTCCCTTCACTGCACATTTTGTAGCCTTAATTAGAAAACTTCACAAACTACAACCGAATTTCAAGTATGTAAATTACCAATAGCAACGTAAGCGATTAATAGCTTGAAAAACTTAAATCATTATCTGTAACTTCAGTGTGAATAAATAGTGGCGACTTCCTCGAAATCAATCAAGTGTTATTCATTAGCTGCTACGAACAGACCGGAGTCCATAAAACGACTAGCTAGGCCCCAACAACCATTTACCCTGAGATGCCCAACCTCAGTCACCTGCCCCCAAATTAAAGCATTATCCGTTAAACAAACACCCACATCGCCCCGGGAGCAGAGGCAGTTCGACGTCCACCCCGAGACGGCTACAGCTCCAGGGTGTTCAACCAGCGGCACCTCGGAAGTTAAGCAGTGGACGGTTACAATATACATTCTGTACTATCACCAATTACAAGTAACAACGAAATCATAAAGACATTTAAAAGTAACATACAATCAGGTTCCATCGTGAATATAATTACAGTTCATTAAAATATAGTCTCAAACATCCCTATACAAATTAGTACAAAGGTACACAATCAGTCTTCAAGATAGAGGCCGTCAACGCCGACACATCACATTTTACCAACAGTTCTATAAACATATCAACACGAAAATTCCCTTACACAATCCATAATTACGCAATATCAATTCATTACCACTTACAATATCGTCTGATGGCCTTACACGTGTTTTTCACAGAATGAAAAATTTTTGTTAATAAAAAATACCCCTCAAAATTTGTAACGATGGTGCATTACAAGTATTGCTGCTTCTCTGAACTTGTCTATCCTTAAATATTTAAAAAAATAAAGCCGTTAACCTTCGGGGGCTATTTCTGCTCCCGTCTTCAGGCAAGAAATATTTATTCTCTTAGTTCCGACGGAAGGGGCTGGTCCCAATCAAAGTCCCTTGTATCAGATCCAAAAAAATAGACATTTCATCTGAGAAGGGATCAGAACTAGCTCCCGAAACGTAATGGCTTGAATTTTAGAAAACTGAACGATGAATCATGTCTAAGCAGCAATACTGAAGGAAATGATTGCCAGAAAATACAAAATTTTAGTCATTACACTTTGAGTGTATAACGTCATAACCTACAGCATTTTACATTGTTCCGCACCTAAGAAAATTAATATTGATTCTATTACTTTCATGTAGCTACGAATGTAATGTTTTAATACCGACGTCCATGATGTTTCCCTTATGAAGCTGAGATTTTACGAGTATAAATGGCATTATTAATTTCAAGGCAATTTAATTGCGTATGAGATTATATTTTCTATCGCAAATGGTAATTTTAAAATTGCATTTCTAAAATTTCGTCGAAAAATTCTTATTTATAAACACTACAATACAGATTTCTCTCGATAACTCCAGATTTTAATTGTAAGCTATTTTCCACTTGAATACAGTTTTGTCTACTGCGATGTTTGGTTTTATGTATCAGCAGTTTTAAAATTTGTGTACACACGAAAAAATCGGTAATTTCCACATCAAGAGACTATATGCTGGTAATAGGCCTGAAACGGGATCATAAAACGGTTTCAAAGCTCCC